AAAATATAAAATACTGTTTTGGAATATCAAGAATTACGATTAAAAAAATGCGTAGCCAATTATTTCAAAATTAAATTTTTTTGTGCAATCTTAAATAAATAAAAAAAATTGTTTGATAAGTAAAAATTCTCTCATTCTTGCACAAATTTTAATCTTTTTTTTAGATTCCATAACTTTATCGATTCGATAAATTCAACATTCCGAACTTCTGCAATATTATTGTCCAAAAAAAGGCTATTTTACAATGTATTGAAAAAGTTATTGAAACGATTCACAATTATCAATATGATATTTATATAGGATGATTCATGTGCGACGAGTAATACATTAATTAATTCTGCTTATCTTTTGAACCTTCTTTGAACAAATTTCATACTTCAAAAAATTTTTGTCACTTGGCGTAAGTAAGCAGTATTTTGTGGGTCGTAGTTTCATATGAATCACTCTGTATATTTATCAGCACTATTATTGGTTTAAATGTTTATTACACGTTGGACAATGAGAATATTAATTTAATTTTTCTTGAATTTTAATCGATTACAACAATTGCAAACTGCCTCCAGTTGGTATTTTTAAGTGCCCCAAAATAGCCCCCATTTCCCTTGCATGTTCAAAGCTTTTATGAAGTTGTTCATCGAATAAAATCTGACTTTAACACCGACATTCCCTTTACAACAATAGATCAACTTCTTTGATCAATTTGCCAAGTATCTAAATAACTTGTAACGATTAAAATTTTTCTACCAAGTGTCCCCATTTAAATAAAATTTATGAAGCGCCGAGTCACTACTTACAAATTTTAATTACCTTTTTCTCCACAATGTATTATTGTAGACTTCGCCCTCCTCATCAGTAAAACTGTCATTACAGGCATCTTCGGTGCTGTCTTGTGCACAAGCACAGTTTTTAACGTTGCCATTTTCAGCCGAATTTTGAATATCAGTGAAGATATTGCCGTTTTTCAGGGCTGAAACTTTCCGACCGAGGGTTTCTAGATTGTCCTCGTCGCTGAAATCCCTCCGGGTGGCGTCGTTCCGGTTGAGGGTGTCCTCGAGCGACTCGGAGTGTCTCCGACTGAAGACCTCGACCTCTGTGTCATGGCTATCGGTCACGTATCTCAACTGCACATTTCCATTGCCGCCCTCTTCCCGAAGAACCACCCTCTGGGGCACCTTCTTCGAGACAATGCACACCGGGAGGTCAAAACTCGGACTCAACTCAGTTTCACTTAAATCCATCGAATCAGTCTGAGTCTCTGCATCAACACTCCGGTTAGAACTCTTCGAATTGCGAGGCGACCCGGAATTTGTCCGGTAATGACGTTTCCGGAACTTTTGGCCCGATTCCGGGGCTTTCACCGGAGTCGTCTACAACAAATTAGGAACAAATAGTTGAAACTCTAAATTTCGTGTTTATTCTAATCTTTTTTAGTAACGTTGCATCTTTAAAATCACTTTTAATGTCTTAAATTAAAAAAAAAATAATCAAATTCATCGTTTATGTTATTCTATTGTTCAAATTAATTCAAAATTAAGCTTTTTAGTAAAAATTCCT